ACTGCACTCCTAATCCTTCATCTCCCCCCCTTCTCCATGTGGTCCCATGGCAAAGTGCAGCCAGCTCTCCCATTCTGAGTCGCTCCTTCATCCTGCATTCCCCAAAAGCCATTTCTGCTCCACTGCTGCTATGACAGCCCCTCCAGCTGCACTTTGCCAGGATCGTGGCTCCATCCTCGCCCTTCCTATGCTATTCCATCACCACCTGGCAATGTTGCAAAGGCTTACACAAACCCATCCCACACACCTGCATCTTGGATTTGAGTTGATTCAGCTCAGTGAGAAGAGAAAGCGGTAGGAACAGTGAAGAAGGGAGTCGGGTCATGGCTGAAGAGCAGCAAAGGAGAGCAAATGAGGGTTTGTTTGTTTATTTGTTTTTTAAGAGGGATTACTTTGCAAAGCACTGCTCACCCAAAAGACAGCCAGCTCTCCCCATTCATACAGTGGGTGCTGCACTCAGCGTGGTGGCAGCTGGGGACACACTGCCTGTCCCTGCGTGAGCGTGCTGTCTGCTCCTGACTTCTGACATAGCTGCAGCAAGGTTTAATGCCTTAAGTCCTGTCTGAGCAGGAAGTTATTAGATCACACTGCAGGAGGATTTAAGGCAGTCACGATGTGGACAGTAGGGGCTGCAAGAGCTGCGGTGGGTAAGGATGAGATGCCCTGGGGGTGTTTGGGGAAGAGGAAGGCAGGAAGAAAACAGATTGCTGCAAAGGGAATTACCCCTGCCCGAAAGGTCACCTCTGTCCATCCCCTCTGCTTTCATCCCTGTCCTCTGTCCTCAAGGAAAGGATGGGGAGTGTGGACAGGGATGGAGGGTTCCCAATGGGCACCACACAGCACCACCAGTGGCCCTGTTGATCCCGACGAAGGGGCAGTGGTGATGTTTTCTCCCCGTTCAGCTTTTCCCATTCCAGCTGCCAGCTCATCCCACCATCCCTGCCAGAGGAAGGGGACGCACACAACCCTTTGCACCCCACATCCTCCCAGGCTCCATCCGCAGCTAATGGTGAGACAGGGCCAGGAGCCCCTGCAGGAGAGCCAGCACAACCCTGGGATCCAACACAGCCAAGCACAATCACAAAGCTGCAGGCACAGACCTGAGAGAGCATTAAGCAGCATCGTTTCGGCTCGGCGTTCTGCCGGGGGTGACATTACTGCAACTTGAAATGTTTGGGATCGGAACTGCCGCGTCTATTCTTTTCTGTGGCTTTTGCCTGGGCTGCATTTCCATTTTCTAAAGAAAACACCTGCTTGGCTCAGACAACCTCCTGCACTTTGTTGCTTAGCACTCTGGGGCTCTTCTTGCCTTGCTGCTCCCCTCTGTGTGCCAGGTGTGGGGCACACGCAGAGCCCCAGCATCCTCCTTTACCCATCCTTCCTGGCTTCATTCACTTCTTTTTTTTTCCCCCTCCGCTTTTACTTTCTGAAGTTGAATGACACCACGCTAATTTGCAGCCCGATTCCTCCTGAGGACATTGAGCTTAATTATATTTTTCTCATCGTTAGCGAATGGCTAGGCTATAATTACACCTGGAAGCATGTTATTTAGGACTAACCCGAGAGCAGCATCCCCTCCAGTGCTACGGGACCGTGAGTGCGGAGCTGAGCGCGTCCCAGTGCTGCCCATCACACCAATGCCCATTTCTCTGATGGAAGTCCAACCTCTTCCTCCAAAACTCTGAGATGGAAGAGCCTGCTGGCTCAATGGCTGGATGTTGTGTTTTAGCTGCCCGTGGCACACCGGTGCCTATGGACACGGTGGGTATCAGTGTGTTACTGGGGAGATGGGGTCCTGTGTCTTCGGTGCATCCTTCTTCCAAGTGGGCTCATGCCTGGTGGGGTGGGGATGGAGCACAAAGTGGACACCCGACACATTCATTGTAATGGGGCAGAACGGGGCTCCCCGGATTGGAAAAAACCAATAGCTCATATTGGGGAATACTGGGGAAGAGGAAGGCAGGAAGAAAACAGACTGCTGCAAAGGGAATTACCCCTGCCCGAAAGTTCACCTCCGTCCATCCCCTCTGCTTTCATCCCTGTCCTCTGTCCTCACAGAATGGATGGGGAGTGTGAGCAGGAAGGATGGGGAGAAACATTTGTTTTCCAGCCCTGAATGCTGCCTCTTCTCACCCAATGACTTTACAGGAGCAGGAGGATAGAAAATGTTCTTTCCTTTTTAATTGCGTTATGGAAAATTAAGGAGAATCATCTACGGAACCTGCAAACTGCTCCTGAAATGAGCTTACATTTCTGTGTCGCAGATCACACTGTGCTTTGTGCAGACTGAAACAACTTGAAGAATCCAATTTACTTGTCTTCAGCTCACTATGTTTTTAGCCTACTTTCCTCAGGAAATGGGGCTCGCTTATGCGATTGTGCTGTTTATATATCTATACGCCATCACTCCCACACTAATAACTTCTGAACGTGTTGGCCAATTCCAACCAAATCTGACAGAGCGGCTGAGTTTTCAAAAATACTGAATCCTCACAAATTTAATGAAATCTGTGGGTGGCCACATATTTTTCCCCCACTGAGAGAAAGGCTGTGCAGTGAATTCAGCCACATTATTAGACAGAAGAGCACACACATTCACGTGCACACACGCACACAAAGCCTGTCCTGGAGGTTGATGGTAAGCCAGTGGCTCTCGTTGATTTTACATGTGGAATATTGCACCCGTGAGCCCCAGAGGGCCAGAAACAACCCTTTGCCAATGTACCTACTGCCTATTTTGTGCTTTTATTTCATCTCGGACAATGCAATTTGGTGAGGGCACTGCAGGGGAGTGTTGATCCATTTAGAAGCTTGAAAATGAATCATGTTAATTACGTGGAAGCCTTTCTAGCTGGTCGTAAAACCTTGCTGTCTTCTGCTTCTGCATGCTGGGGTGCAGCCGAGAGCATCCGTGCAAGAAAATATTACAACGGGAAAGAGCTCAACAAGAAAGCCTGTGCATTTCAGACAGAACAGGTTTCCTGCTTCCCACCTCCATTTGGCAAATTGCAAACACCAGAGAGTCCCCAGCACCTTGAGTCTGCACAACACCGAGTCCCACTTCCTCTGTGCCTCCAGCAAATCCTAAGCCCAGCAGGCGTGCTTGAATGCAGCCAGACAGCTTGGCTCTTTGCTGCTAAGTTTTGGGGCTTTGACATGAGCCATTAATGCAGGTGGAAGGATGGGCGTCATGCGCAGACGCTACCCCAGCACTAATGCACTGCACAAGTCACGTTGGAATCTGCCCATCCCCATCCCCATGTGCTGCACAGCAGAATCAATACAGGGCTTTTCAGCTCCCCCACACACCAGAGGCAATGTTTGTGCCATCAGAAGAGTAAATCCTGGTGTGGCCACGCTTTCTTGTGTCTGTTCTGGAGCAGGAAGGATAAAGCTGGGAGGCGGCAGTGTGGGAGGAAGGGGTCAGGATGCTCGTGAGCGATGCCAAACTTGGGCTGCATCTCTGCTGGGGTATCCTTGAAGCACTCCCATTCATTTATTTCTTTGCAGCTTTACTAATGACTAACGGGGTCTGCTGAGTGGCCCTAAATCCTATTTGTCCTTTCTGAATGCACACATGGTCATGGGTTCCGTGTTCCCCATCTGATATGGGGGCAGAAGGTGTTTGTGCCCCAGATGGATCTTATTTTTCCTCCTGCTCCTCTCTCACAATTAGAGGTGGAGCCTTACATGCCAACAACTCATTAAAGCATTTCCAGCTTGTGGGGGTCACATCTCTCCCAGCTCCTGCTCTCATGGTGTTCCAGAACTGGAACCAACCGGGGATGCCCAGGCTCTCAGAAAGGATTTCCATTTCCAGGGTTCAGCCCACTGTCTCAAGACGTTCACATCCTCTCATCACACGGAAAGATCTGGTCTTTCCTCTGCTCTGCAGTCTTTTCCCTACCTGGCATTCGAGTGGGATTTATTTTTTTTTAAAGCTTTGACAACAGCTTGGTCCAACATCAGCTAGAAAACATCAAGTCCAAATATGCTCCCCAAGCAGGCCTGGGAGTCTCATTCACATTGCAGATCAGTCATCAGCAGACGTGCTGATAAAGATTTCAAGTGTGACACTGAATACAAATGATCCAGATCCAACAATTAATCCAGCACAGGAGACTGAGGAGCTGCCTGATTTTTTTCCCCAACCACCTGGGTTCTACGTGTAGCATTTGGTCAGAAAACAGAAAGAAAAACCCGTGCTTTCATAAACCACTCCCCAAAGTGCTGCAGAGATCCCTGATCTCAGCTGAAGAGACTTTCCTCTTCAGCTCACCTCTCTTCTGGTTGCTCACTGCAGCTCACCATGCTCTATGCACGTTTTGGGAGCTGGCTACAAGGCACTTGAGTCGGACATGATTTTAAGCTAAACTAGATATCACCCTGTTGTTTTTTCTTTCCTCCTCTTCTGCTGTTTTTCAGCCATATCTGATCCCTGAAATGGCACAGACCATCCTTAGGGTGGTTTCTCCAGGCTGTGTCAGAGAGAGGATTTGGGGAAACAGCACTGCAGGAGCCCTTCTCCTATCAGGCTGTGGAGAAATGGGGAAGACAGCCCAGGACCTCCCAAGTGACAGCTGCCTGTCCCACCCAGGGACTCAGAACCCCAATCCTACCATGCTGCAGCCACCCTCACGTGGCTCTCAGTGAGTGCACTGCTCCGGTTGACCCTCTATTGCTGTTCTGGGATAGTCGTGCGCCCTCAACCTGCTTACAGTGAGCACGAGGGGCAGTTCAGCCCGGATCCATCCCGTTTTTGAGAAGAACCCACGAAGTTTACCCGTGCGTAAGCACGAAGGCTTGGCTTTGCACAGATCCAAGAAGCAAGCCCACAGACGCAGCCAAGGCTGCGCCATCAACCAACACCCACCTCAACATCCCCCAAGCCTCCAGCACCACAACGCCTCCCCCAAGCAACGGCCCTTAGCCTCTATAAGACACAAACCTCCTCCCACGTCCCCCCGCTGCCGCTGGGGCTGAGGTGCCCCGATGCCTACCTGGAGGCGGCGATCTCCGCTTTCTGCTTGGCGATGGTGGCCGCTCTCTCGGCCGCCTCCACGGCCCGATCCACCTTCTCGCGGATCTTGCTGGCCCGCAGCGGGATGAGGTTCTTCCTCTTGCCACTGACCAGGACGTTCTGCTTGTACTTGCCCTCCTCCTTGGTGCCATCGGGGAAGGTCATGCAGCCGTAGCCGTGACGCTTGTTGTTGGCCCACTCGCCCTCGTACTTCAGGCCGTCGGAGCGCTGGCTCACCCCAAAACCCGACCGCTTGTCGTTCTTCCACTCTCCGACGTAGATCTCAGTGGTGGTGGCATCAATGTCGTCTTCGATGACAGACAGCTCAGCCTCGCCCTCGCCCAAGCTGATGGTGGAGTTGATGTCGCTGGCGGTGGAGCTGACCGTGCTCATCCCGGCCTCGCTGCGGAAGGAGCTCTGCTTGCTCCGCTGGCTGGCCAAGGAGCTCTTGGACTCGGACTTACGGAGCTTGAGCCCGCTCAGCAGCGACCGGCGGAAGATGCCTTTCTTCTTGCTCTTGAGGATCTCGGCATCGCTGTGGGCCATGAGGACAAAGCCACCTCGGGACACGGCGGGGCTGCCGGCCACCGCCGGCGAGGAGTCGGGGTGCAGGGCTGTGCCATTGGTGTGCTCGCTGCGCAGGGAGTTGATGGACGTCCTCAGGGGTGATCTGATGACCGCAGCCATGCCGTAGGGAACGCTCTGACGGACGCCGTACCCCTGGCGCATCCCTCCGACCCACTGGCCCTGATACGTCCCTGGGGAGGCAAAAGCAAAGAGCGGGTTCAATTTTTTTCTCCAAAAGTGTGGTGACACGCTGGGACGGCTGCCCAGGGAGGTGGTGGAGTCACCGCGCCCGGAGGTGTCGCAGAACTGTGGAGATGTGGCACTGAGGGACACGGTCAGTGGGTATGGCAGGATGGACTTGGTGACTTTAGTGGCCTTTTTCAACCTGAATGATTCTGTGATGCATCCTGTGGGAAGGAGTAGCATCAGCCTGCTTGAGCTGCTATTGTTGGGACCTGTTATTATTGGGAACATATGGACTCTGCTGTGGAAATGCTACGTTACAGTCTGAAGCAGTGATGGAGCACCTGGTGGGAAGGCAGGGCCAACCCAGGGCAGCTCAGGTGTAAGCAATGTACCCGAGTGATTGGAAGGGCTGAAGGCGGGATCCACCCCTTCCCAGAACTCATTTAAGGATTGACAGTGGAGATGAGGGCATCTCTTGCTGGAGATCCCTGCCTACTTGAAGCCTTCAGAAGGTAAGCAGTTATTTTTCTTCATTTCTATATCTGTGGCTGCTGCGTTTGGGCTCATTCTCAATTTGCAAGACCCAATGGCTTTGCCATGCATTATAGACTCCCAGTAGCAAAGTGCAGCTCCGGATCCCAACCCCGTCTCTACAGTCATAGTATCCCAATGTGGGAAGAAAGTAAAATATCTGAGTCAATTTGCAGGGGTGCACTTTAGCTGTTAGCAACCAGATGAGGCGCTGGGGCAAACGGAGCCTTCTTCCCCTGGGCTGCCCTATAGATCCAGCCTGAATTTGGAAGAGGAAAGTGCAGGGAGGCTGGGATTGTCATCCAGGAGCAGACTCCATCCCGTCTGCTGCCGGCAGTGGTGAAAGCAATTGGTGTATTACCATGTATTTTTTTTTCTGTACATCATGCTTTCATCCAGTATGCAGCGGGAGGGAGAGGCTCTATAGAAATAAAAGCCTCATGGGGATATATCTGTGTGGTTATTATTCTCAGAAACGTGCCCCTGCTTGAACTCCTCCATTTGCGTGGGCACTTGCTGGAGTTACCTAACTGGCAGTTTGCTGGGATGCACGCTGCATCTTGCTGTGCCTCGGGTTAAAGCCATCCGTGCTGGAAAATGGAGCCACAAGAAACCAATCCAGGTAGGAAAACACCACCCAAGCACAATCAGCATGCCCTGTGTACTGCAATGTGTAGTGGTAATCTGCTGCTTTCCTGCCCTGGGGTTGCAATCCCATCCCGTTGGCACGCTTTGTCATGTTATCCCTATCGGTTGAACTGCACAGCTTGTTTTTATTCTTAGGTCAGCTTTAATCTTTTTGGGGATGTCTCACAATGCAGTGATTCACCACCTGGCTCAGCCCTCGCTGGGTGGATTTGCAAACCCTGGGCAGGCTCTGAGCCCAGCCCGGGGCAATGCCAAAGTAGAGTCCAGCACTGTGTGGTATCGGGGCAAGGGAGACTTAAATAGTCTTAAAATAGTGCCCCCCATGTGAAACAGCCCTGATAACAACAGCCCAGCAGATTCCCTCTGGCTCAGACTGATAGAGGCTTTCCATCCTTGCTCTGCATGAAATGCTCTTTGCCCTTAGCCATCAGTACCTGTTGGATCCTCCTGAGCTGGGCAGTGGCTTGCCTTTCCCATCTGAATGACAACTTGCACCACCCTTCTGCAGGTTTAAAGGCATTTTATACACAGGGATAAGCAGGAAGTGGTTAAGGCTGCTGTCTTTCCCCAGCACGGGCTGTGGTTCCCTGCGTACGCCCCCAAAAAATGCTTTCTCCAAGCAAAGATTGCCTTGGAATGGACACTGGGAGGATTTGCTCAGGATTTATAGGATTAGAGCTGGGAGGGAGACAGAGTGCTGGGATTAGGACTGGCACCTGCAGGGCAGGGTGAGGAGCAGAGCTTGGGCACAGGGCAAACAAGGGACAGACAGCAAGACAGACAGCAGGATGGACAGCAGGCATCTTGGGGGGGACATGGGACATGTCCTCTGGTTGGATTTGAGCATGTGGGTGAGGGGCAGGGAGAAAAGTCCTTGCGTATCATCTATCAGAGTCTTCAATCTGATCCCCAGCCCCAAGAAGCTCCCAAGGTTTCCCCCTCTCCTTGCAAGCCCATGGCTGAAAAACCAGGTTAAAATGAAGCACTGTAGAGCAAGCAAGGCCCTTTGCTGAAAGCCAGAGATGGTGGCAAGGAGCAGAACAAAGCAGGCTTGGGGCGGGCATGACAGCACATCTCAGCTGGAGCAGAGGCAGCAAATTGGTCACAGCAGGTTCCTGCTGCAGCAAGGCAGAGGTGCCCAGGAAGCTGTCATCTCTGCATGGCCTTAAAACCTACTCCTAAAGCTGCACGACTGCCAGGAGCAATCGCTGCATCTGCTTGGCAAGGTTAAGTTTTCTAAGCAGAGGATGCAGGGATTTGAGGAGAGCTGCTCCATCGGCCAGCCCGTCCTGCTACTGCACTGCCAGCATCTCAGAGCTGCTCCCAGCACAGCAAAACCCAAACCTCACATCTGCCTCCCTCATAAGTGGAGGATTGCCAATGGGGATTGCCTCCCTGATAGCCTCTGGGACATCTGCATATCTTCGTGGACACCTCCAGATCATGGAGCTGAGTTCCCTCCCTCCTCCCTCTTTTGACTTTATTACCTCTTAAACCCCTCAATATCCCAGGATTTGGCCACGAAGGCTGGAAGCTCTCAGAGCCATCTGATCTGCATCGCTAAGCACTGTCACCTCCTCCCCTTGCACCACCTGGCTTAACCTCTGCCCTCTCACATTTGCAGATGTGTGCACAGAGCTTAATCTCACAAGGAGCTGGGATACTCTTTTTTTTCCCTGCAGAGGAAACAGGATTTTATTGCTTTCCACTCTCTGTGCCAGGATGGACCAGCTATGGCTGTTTTGGAGCTGGGGTGCTGCAAAATGCAGTGGGACTAAGGATGTAGCAAGACAAGCACTTCTGATGAAAAAGGACCCAACCTGAGCTGCAGAGCACCTCCAACCTGAAGGATTGCAGAGGAAGCATAGGAGGCAAAGCATCTACTGCTTGCTGTGCTAACGCAACCAAAGTCACATCCATTTCTGTAGCTCTTCCCTTGCTATCAGCTCTTGCAAAGTGCTTCCTAAAGCACGAATTGCATGAGATTAATGGGGTGATTACACAGGGGGAATGCAGCATTCCGAGGGCTGGGTGCAAGACATGGATGAGAGCAGATGAACAACATCTCAGTCACCGCTGCCCTGCTGAAAGGAGGGACAGATCCTGCGCTGCGAGTGAGAATTTTGTCATAATTTATCATAATGGCAGCAAAATAATCGCCCATGGGGATAAGCAGAGAGTTGTGTGCTGACTTGCAGTGGATTTACCCCAGGGAAGACTTCTTGACTCTCAGAGCAATTATTCTGGCAGGACTTGGCCCAGAACCAGGCAATGCCAAGAAGAGTGGGGCTGCAGGCACGCACATGAACACGTCCAGAGGGGATAACCTGAGGCTAGAAGAAAATAAATGAAGTCATCCCAAACGATGGCTCAGTGAGAATATTCCTCCACCAGAAAGAGAAGCTGGGTCGTGAAGAAGGAAACGGGATCACAGGGAAGATGGGGAAAGTTGGGAGGGGGTGGAAACACGGAGAGAAGATGGGTGATGCTGCCACTGGCCACTGGCACGTGTGGTTTGGAGTCTGGTGGATTCTTGGCTCGCTCCCCTTGGAGAAAGGCTGGCTGCTTTCTAAATGGCTTTTCAAGCTCCCATGGGAATTTCCATCGCCCTCAGGACCGTGTGGAACCACAAGGAGTAAGTCCTGTTGCTGAATCTCCAGCAGCTTGGATGTTGTAGAGAAATGACAAGCACCAAAGAGTAATCTAATTTGTTGCAGTTATTCAGCGCTTTCTCAGCACTTGGCTCAGGAAGTGGAAATTCATTCTGGGAAGAGCGCAAGAGTCTGCAGGCGGCTCCTGTTGTCCCCACAGAGCCACCAGACACTGGGGTTGGCCCTACAGCAGGGCAGGGAACCTTGCACCTCACAGAAACAGGAACCCAGAGCAGAGCCCTCACGTTCCCTGCTGCAAATGGGATCATGCAGCAGCACTCCTGCAACGTGGATGGGAAGAGGGAAGACCAATTTGATGGTTTTTTTGTTGGTTTTTTTTTTTTGTTTTTTTTTTTTCCAAAATGCTCTGGAAGGAGCTGAGGCACTGCAGACACCAGGAAGAATGATGTGTCTCATCGTTTGCTTCTTCATTTGCCTCTTCATCTCTGCCAAAGAGTTCTGGGGCTTTTGGCTAAAGGAGAAGACTTGTCTCTGTCCCTGTCTCATTGGAAGAGGCAATAAATGCACAGCTTGGTGTTGCCATGCAGAGAATGCCACCAGAAACCTCACTTCATCAGTGCAAGTTGGAATCTCTTGCCAGATTATATCAGGGAAGGAGAGATGAATGCCCCCACTTGGCCTTTCTAACCCAGATACAATCTATGACACGAGGGGATGGCAAGGAACCACCCCCTGCTGGGGGGGAGAGCCTGTATTGCTGCCTGCTGCCCCAAGCCAGGGGGCCACCTGTGACCCACAACCTCATCTTGCTGCTGGGGAAAGCCATCAATATCTCGTGAAGGTCAGCAGCAACGTCCAAAGTATCCCAGACTTCAGACAAATAAGCAACGTTCAGACAGATCTGGGGTTTCCTTAGGATCCATCCAAGCAACAAGCAAATGATGGAGGGTGCCAGGGGTAAGATGGGCTATCTGCATCCCTGTAGTGTTCACAGGGCTCCCCTAGGCTGAAGGTGGGACTGCCTGCTTGACCACAAACTTGGTCTGCCCGCAGTGGTGTTGGAAGGGGACAGGACATCCAGACCTATGGGGCTGCAATGGCTGCATTTTCTTTCCTCCCTCCCTCCCCCATACCCAAGGAGCTGCCATGTTGCAGGCTGCTGAGTCCCTTGGCTCTGCTCCAGGAAAATCATTAAGTATGAGCTTTAGGGATTG